GGACAAAATTGGACATTTTTGTTGAACAGTTCAGTTCTGAAGGACCAGCAAAAATGCGACATGTTTAATCCGCCTCCACACGCAATCGATTGCGTTCAATCAATTGTTAAATGCCCATAAAGAAATAATTTTCTAGGTCAATCGGAATCACGCAAACGAACCACAAGTTTTCTCGCACCTGCTCATAAAATTGCCGGAATTGAGGAATTTGGGCTTGAAGCACAACAATCACCTGGACTGGTTTCGGGAGAACTGGCAAAAACTGGTGCTGCCGCCTCTATTCGCTGAAATATTCGACATTCCCAAATCGGAAGACGATTTACAGTGATAGTTCTGAATTCGGATCATTAACTCGATAAGGTAAGCCTCAGAAAAAAACTCTGAGCGACCCTTAAAAAGTGTTTGTCTAGGGCAATGTACTTAATTATGAAGAAACCCCCGAACCTGCAATTTGTCCAGACGAAAAGTTCCAGGGAGAAGACACTATAGAATAAATGCTTTGAGAAAGACAGGGTCCCAAAATAATTTAATTTGTTATCGACTTTTTAGATTTAGTAGTTAAAAACAGTTATACATATCAATGTAAATGAACTATATCAGCTGCTTTTTTCCTGGACAGAGCCGCTCTACGTTGCGTTTCTGAGCGCTCAGAAGCACGACTGTACGCAATTGGAGCAGTTTACGAACTGAATTTTTGGTGTATTTATTTTCGACGCATTGACAAAGTCGGCTTTTAGTGGTAACTTCGAAACCCATACGGTTCGTACGACTCTGTTTTAGGAGTTTTATTTATACTGATAAGTGGATGCTCAATTTTTGAGGTTTAATGTGAACGTTTGCTTTGAAGATAGTCATAGGTGTACTTTTTTTACTAGCCGAAATCAACAGTGGAACTACTATGTAAATAAGAGTGTAAAGTGAATATCCGAGCTGGAACTTGCGAGTTTTATGGCAGTTTCGGAAAGTAAAAAAAGAGGATTCAACTAAAATAGGCATTGGAATAATTGCGTAGAATCTACCCCTGTACCTAAAAACTCATTGTACGCAACTGCTATTTAAGCGAACTATAAACAATAACAGCTAGCTCTCTATCGCTTAAAATCTAATTAAGAATCATCGTGCGTCGGAAGAGGTTAAGAAAGTTAAGTTTCTTAACGGAACAATCATATCGCTCATTTTACGGGTTGGAGTCATATCAGTGGTGCAATTAATTAAATTTTGCACTTATTGAAGGAAATTTTTGCTTTTTTTAATGAAAAAACTCGATTCTACATGCAGGGGCACTCTGGTACGGTATAAATAAACTAAGTAATCAATTAAATACTCGCTCGCTATACTCAACCTACAGGAAAAGACATGCAAGTACCTTAACTTTTACAAACATTCGATTTACTCACTACTCAATGTTGTATAATATAGGTTTTAAACTCTACACGTAATTTTGGTATTGTTAAAAGTATTATTTTTATATATTCTTTATGTACAATTTTATATATTTTGCCCGGTAAGTTTTAATGAGGCTATATTTTGTACTATACGTCGATTAGTTACAATGTAATTGTTAAGTTATATGATAGTTTTTTATTGTTTCGGACGATCTGCAAGACTTTACGGCCCAGTGCTAGGCTCAGTAAATCGATTTGAAACAGTTTTGTTTTCAGAGACAGTACACTTGGGCTACAATAGTATATGTATAATTAAAGCTGTTAAATAATATAATATTTATTTTATAAAATACTTTTTACACTGCCGCTTTATTATATTCTGTTGTCGTTTTCATCCCTCATGTGTGATATTGGCGGAAAAATTGCATTTGAAAAAAAGTCACTGACTCGTTGCTTCGTAATATTGCACATGATTTTTTTTAAAGATGGTTTGTGGTCTAGGACGGAACACTTGACAAGTAATACTCGATATTCGTATACAGCTAACTATAAACTGATGGCAATATGTGTTTTGACATTTTTATATGTGCTCATATTGGCGGCATTTTGGACATTCATACTATTGACTAGTATACTAAACTAGGCATCTAATATTACGTGTTACTACTATTGTTATTGCTCTTTGTTCATATTCTATTTGAATTTTAGTCTCAGGGTATTTCATTTATTAGCCATTTGTCTAGAGCCTTGTTTAGCATTTAATTCATCTGTGATGCTTAATCTCGAAATTCATTTTTAACTTGTTGTTTTCGGACGGATCGCGAGAACTTACAACAAAGCAACGCGCTCAATAAATGGAATACTTTGCAACAAAGTTAGAATCTCACTTGTATTGGTTGGAGCAGATTAGAATATATTCTCTATTGTTTAATGGTAAATCAGTTCCATTAGCATTTCAAATACCTAATATATAAAGCATAGCAGGATTTATATAGTTTTTTCAATAGATACAAATATTGCAAACGTTTACTTTTTTAGCGTTTTCCATTTTATTTTTCCACTTTGTTACAATTTTATATTTGTTTCACAAACATGCTACATGAATTTACTGTGTGTTATAAATACATTGTCCTTATATCAGTATTATCTGTTGTATTACTCAAGCCAAGCAACTGTAATAATAATCAGCCTAACAGCCTGAAAAACTGCTGTTTAATGTGTTTGATGTAGATATGGGTACACAGTGGATTTTCAGGTGTTCACCAAGGGCGGATCCAGGGGGTCATGTGGGTCATTCAATTCTCTATCCAACGATGCCAAAACGAATTCTGTGGCTCAAATGGTTCTTGAGAAACTTCGAAAAACGCAGCGTCATGTTCAAGCTCATTTTGCAACTCAAAAAAAACCACGCAAATCTAAAACTTCTTGAATTCAAGCATTTTTTGAGAAAACTGCCAACATTTCCTTATTGATGGTTCACTTGCTAAAAA